GGCGGCGGGCCCCGAGGTGCCGTTGGGCGTTCCGCCGGAGAGGACGAAGAAGCGGGCAGCCCGGACAGCGGCATTGGGAGCAGCGGGCACTTGAGGGTGAGCGAGCACGGGAGGCGGCGAGGTTGAAAGCAGAGGCTGCTGGCCGGGTGTGGGGAGGACAGCGCGGGCAGCAACGGTTGAGGAAAAGGGCTTCAGTTTAAAAGGATCCTTATTTGGAGCCCGAGGGCCCCCGCCCCTCGCTCCCGAGCGTCTCTCAGGGTTGCAGTTAAGTCACTTCCGCGGGTGATTCACCCTCCCAATGACGACACCTCCGCGCGCCAAAAACAGACTTTTCTTTAAATGTCGGCCGCGAGCGCCAGCGCGCCCCAGGTGCTCCCGGTCCTCCGGCCAGGCGGGTGATGCTGCCCGCGCCCTTGGCCCCCTGCTCTTTCCCCTGGTCTTCATTCTGGGACCTCCCCTTGGTTTACCGGGGCTCACTTACATTCTGGGTGGATGCGCTTCGTCCTAAAGGGTAACCTAAAATGTGCGGTAGTTAAGACAGGCTGTTAAAAGTTGCCGCCCGCTGAAAATTCCTTCTGAATACATACGGGGAAAGCAACAAGAAGCAGGAGTGTCATTTCAACCAGAGATTTTTTTTTAGTATCGTAAAAGAATCCTAATTAAAAACAGCTCCGTGCCAAGAGGGCGGCAGCAGGTCCTTTAGAATCACAAGGACTAAAGTAGACTTATATATACAGTCCCTTCCTCAGATAAGTGCCCCCTGAATTAGCAGTACATCCCAGATAATGAGCTATCTAGAGTTGCGCTCAATACTCTTTATGGCTTAGAAAATGAGAATTATCTTTCTTCCCTATCCCCCCTTTTTCTGCCCCCACTCTGTATAGTAGTTTTTGAGAAATCATTGTTTTAGATTGATAATACACTTTTAATTTACTAGGATGGGATTAGAAGAGGTCGACCAAGAGCAGAGACAGTCCGAGATCTAATAAATGAGGGAGAGCATTCATCTAGCAGAATACGTTGTAATGTCTGCAACAGAGTTTTCCCTCGAGAGAAGTCTTTGCAGGCACACAAAAGAACTCATACTGGTAAGTAGAATGGATAAACAACACGTTGATTTGTCATGCAGTGGCAATTTTGCAACAACCTAATTCTGCACATGCTGCAGCCCTCAGACTTTCACTTCAAGAGATTAAGATCTATATTAGCCGTGTTATGTTTTTATTAGATGCCCATGAAATATTAGGGTATCATGTGTGGATTGTGTTTTTCCATTTATCTTAATAGGGAGAAGCATTAATCCCACTGAATTTCTTCTTAGTTCCTTAGAATTTGTAGCCATTAAGGAGCTGGCTAAATACTTCTAAACACTATCACAAGAATTAATGTTGTACTTTATTTATTTATTTATTTATTTATTAAATTTATATGCCGCCCATCTCCCCCAGAGGGTGACTCTAGGCAGCTCACTTGTACTTTATTTATTTATTTATTTATTTATTAAATTTATATGCCGCCCATCTCCCCCAGAGGGTGACTCTAGGCAGCTCACTTGTACTTTATTTATTTATTTATTTATTTATTAAATTTATATGCCGCCCATCTCCCCCAGAGGGTGACTCTAGGCAGCTCACTTGTACTTTATTTATTTATTTATTTATTTATTAAATTTATATGCCGCCCATCTCCCCCAGAGGGTGACTCTAGGCAGCTCACTTACTTAATATATACTTAATGTTTCAACTAAATGTATGCATTAACTTGAAATTTATTCTGTTGAATCTGTTGAATCTGAATTTGGAATCTTGTCCCTTCCTAAGTAAACATTGTATATAAATGCAACATTTCTTTCAAGAAGGTGTGAAACTGGTAGGAAGTTTGTTTTGCAGTAAAGGTTTTTAAACTGTCTAGAAAAGGAGTATAGCCAAGCAGCATGTTTGCCAAAAAACTGTAGCTGGGCTGTCTCAAATTTTTAGCATCCTTTCAAAGTAATGAAATAAAGTTAAAAAATAACATAATTCAGGCAAGTTCTGGCAAACTTTAGCAAACTGAGAAGGACTTAGTTTATTTTATGCAAGAAATCCCTGGAAGAAGCTCAGAATATGATTTTTCCCCCCTTAGGTGAAAGACCTTATTTGTGTGATTACCCAGAGTGTGGGAAAGCTTTTGTTCAGAGTGGGCAACTTAAAACACATCAGCGTCTCCATACAGGAGAGAAACCTTTTGTCTGTGCAGAAAATGGTGAGCCATGAGGAAATTGCTTTCGCTCAAACTGCTATGAATAACAGTCTTGAAAATATGCCAATAAAAATTCCTAGTTTTCATCTTATTTTATTTTACCAGAACCAGGTATCCTGTGTTTAGCCATGAATAGCTTCTAAGCAGTATAGTTAAAAAAATTTTTTAAAGCTTTTTACTAAGTAAGTTGGCAAGGGGCAGAGTTCAGGGATAAGGTCACCCTTCTGTATTCCAGCAGAAATCAAATAAACTGACCAGGGAGGACAGAGAAATTCCTCTCTAATATCTCCCTTACTTATTTGTCTATGTCCTTCCTAGAAATAGAAAGGATTCTATTTATTTAGGTATGTGAGAGAATATAAATGTTATTACACGCAAGAAGCTGGGAAACAAGCTTCATATTTATTTATTAGAACATACTAATAAAAAAATAAAACTACTACATACCGTATTTTTCCGACAATAAGACACCCCCCACTTTTCCAGCCCAAAATTAAA